TTTTTTTCAATTTCTTATAATAATGAATCTATGGTTCTCCGACAGATCTATGATCCACCCTGTACAACGAGTCTAGGAGTCTTCAAACTTTTAAATTCACTTTTCGCGAATCTTACTTTTTGTGACACTAATCTTTTTAACCCTGTTTATTACGTTCAACTAGCCATTTGTGCATGCGGAAAAAGCGTAAGAAACGCTTATGGTAGCAAATCGGGTTAAGATATTTCGTAGCTAAACACTGTATGCTTTGTTTTTTAACACTAACGGTACATTATAACAAATATTAATAGACACTTGAGTAATATTTGACAAATATTACGATCGGTCATTATAAAGTGAAATGTATTTTAGTTAATTTGGGCCAGATAAAAATATAGCAAAATGGGGGCACAATATTATGTGTCAGAATCAAACAAAACCTTGCTTTTTAATACGCCTGTGTGATTCAGGTCAGTTAAAAAACTTAAAGATTACTGAACATACGTTAAGATATTTATGGATATCCATTTCTTTGTATACTATTACGGAAAATACAAATACGTTACACACCTACTTAGTTTAACAAATAAGAAATTATCAACTTAGCAATTTTATTTAATGAAGCGCGATGTATGAAACTTCCATCATATTCCTCCCTACCGAAGAGGCAGAAAAAGATCATGAGCAAAAACAATCTTATTTCATTCGCTATTAGATACTTAATTATTTTTATACATCAAAGACTGATTAAATAATTAAGGCCGTCTTACAGTTACCCTTCACCCTACTCAAATGAGAGCAAAAATTCAGAAAAATCCATGTAGTAATTAATGATTGCATATTTTATATACAACGTGCTTCCAGAACATTGAAGGAATGACTCTTAAGACTATTTTCAAAAAACCGGTTCCTTTCGGAGATACAGTGCCACTGGGGTTTTATTAAATAGCATTGTTTGATAAAATGCTTTTTCAAAAACGGTTAATTCTATCAAAATTAAATGAGACTCCATTTTCCAGCTAAAGGATCAGGGTTTACAGAAATAAACAGAGTGTAAGAAATTAGCAATATTGTAATCGACATTTTTATGCGACACTTCTCCTCAAAGGATATTTTACCTCACGTTTTGGAAACATCCTGTATGTAATATTCTATTATTGATCTAAATTTTTGCTCACAATGGCATTCGTGAGTATCGTATGACCCTATGGATGAAAGAGAACTTTCCCAGTATGAATATATTTTAAGTTCTCTTCACATATAAATATCTAGCTAAAGTTTGTGTAATGTTATAATCAAGTGCTGCTTAAATGAATGTCATTAGTTTTAAGTTTTAACATATGTCGCACTTCATACTTTATACTGCTTTTGATCTACTGAATATCTTTTCGAAACTATATCCACAGAAACTTTCGAATATGGTTGCTCGATTTTGGATCAGCCTGTACATTTTTCCGGCATGTCTTTATTTAATGATATTCCCAAACACTTTCAGGGCATATCACACAAGCACAATAAGCGTTCTTTCTGTTACTCCACTTCCTCTATAATATACGGTGTGTTCGAAAAATAGACGGAGATATTTTAGAGGGTGATTTCTTGTTAAAAATATATGAAATAAGTTTCTATGAACATGGATCCGAAAATGCAGAGTTTTAAAGATACAGGGTGATGAATTAAAAAAAATATTTAAAAATATTTACTGGTTACTGGTTAAAACTTGGCAATATTATTTTTTATAGTAAATCGTTTTATTGCATGTTACTGGACAAAATCGGTTTACTAGTTTTTGCTGAGAAAATCACAAGTCCCTTGGAAAACAAAAGTTAGCCTCTTAATACAACAAATAATATTGCCAAATTTCAACAGGATCAAGTAAATATTGTTTAAGATATTAATAAAAAAAATTAAATTCATCACCCTGTATATTCGAAACTCTGCATTTCTGGACTCATGTTTATAGAAGCTTTTTTATATTTTTTTTAACAAGGAATCACCCTCTAAAATATCTCGGTCTATTTTTCCAACACCCTGTATATCACAATATTTATTATTTAAGCTAGTATTTTGTAGAATCTTCTGTCGTCACACTCTGGAAGGTTCATCGGTAATCACACTAACAATGGTTTTGGTTCCAAAATTGTTTACATATCGATGGACAAACTTTATTTAGATGATCTTGAGTAGGTAACTATGTTAAATATGTATATTGGAGGTGAATGACTGCTTGTTTCTGACAAATCTCCAAGCGAAATAAACATGTTTACCATTTTTTCAATTTTAATTCATTCACCGTATACATATATATACATAATTTGACGTAATAGCCGGCAAATATAGTATAGCAAGGCGTAGAAATTTTGCCAGAAAGTTTCCTATGTTTCTATAATCTTGAACCAATTTTGTAATAATATTGAGATAATGTTATTTTCGGTGAAATATCTAGATTATGTATGAACGCTTATATAGCAGTTCAAAAACCTTCGGCTAAAAAATTGGTTATCTTTGGAGAATAGTGCAATCTTGATCGCATTAAGAAATCAAATATAAACATGCAATACACGAGTATTACATCTTAATTGGTAATGTAAAGATAATCCAGACATTTCACATTTCTCGCTCATGCACATACAGTTTCATGCTGAACTCAAAAGTTGTGTATTTAACAAAATGATATCGACTGAATATAATGTTGCAGAATAGCTGATTGCTAAACCTCAAATTTATCAATGGAGATACATACAGTGGGAATAACTCCTAATCTCAAAATGTGCAATAATAAAATGTACTTAAGAATGCAAACATAGAGGGTGAATTTTTAGTGTGAGCTCGATAACTTATGCGATTATGCACGTAATGTGAAAAAGTGAAATACTAAAGATGTAGCCAACATTATGCTCCTGACTTGGAAAATATTTTTATCTATACAGAGCGGTTCATAACTACACGGTGACCCGAACTAAATAGAAAGCCATATATTTTATTGTAGACGTGGATAGGCCTTTGTAACCGAATCAATTCGGTATCACATACTGTAGGGTTTTATTTTTCTTATTGTTGATTGGACAATCTATCAAAAAAGCACCCAGCTTTCACAACTCGTATCTCCGCAACTGGTATAGCTAGAGTACGTAATTTTTCATGAGAAAAATTTTATAATCACATATTTTCCCACTACCTTCTTACTTTTTCGATTTTTTGGACAGTGTATACAGGGTGGTCAAAAACGCAAAATGCAAATATATGAACTATCCTGAAAACTAAAAAAGTAAGTATAAGTAGGGGAAAAATCTGGGATCACACAATGTTTCTTACGAAAAGTTCAGTACTATAGAAATAAAAATATTTTCCTAGTAAGGAGTATACAATTTTTGCGATTCACTTTTTCAGATACCATGCGCAATCGCGGAGATATCGACAAGGCTACGCTAAAAACTCACTCTGTATATTTTTAACTGATGCAAAATTTCATTGAAGCTATTTTTGGTGAATTTCGTAACATGATTATTTTTTTTATCAAAATAACAAATGAGGTCACTATCGTTCACGGCAAGTGTATAAAACTATGTAGGTCTGATAAGAGGCAACTAGATTTTTTAGTGAATCGCATTTACAAGTTTACGAGTTCGTCACTAAAAATACAAGTTTCTCTTGTAATTCCTAAGTTTCAGTAACAAACATAATATCGATTCAACTTTTTCTACAAGCAAACTCCTCGCTCTTTTTCGAAAATTTCTAGTAAATACATATTTGTAGGTATCCTGATTTAACCAATGTTCTTCAAGAAATCAACTCTGGAAAATAGGGCTTTAAGAACCAATGTCTTACTCAATGTCTTACTCAATCCTGATATCATCATACTATAAATAATATTTTCATGGAACAAACGAGTGCGCCACTGATTCTGACTTATCGGGGAGCTGTGAGAATAAGTAGTGATTGATAGTCAACAGACTACAAAGAATATAATAACGTATTGATACTATAGATCGCCTAAAGGATAAATGATAATATTTGAACAAGAGGTTACGAGGGAGATGCGGAAAGTTGACGCTAGTGTTGTAGTTTTACATTTGACAAATTATGGATATTTCTATAAATTTATGAAACGGATTAATTTCTAGATTTTTGCCCAAAGGTTTTTCAACATTACTGCGCAGAGAACTGTGGTATCTTAAAAACGACATAATAATTTGTCATATGACAACAGTGGAAAGAGATTGCGATGAGCAAACAGTGTTGTCAGCCTGGCAAAATTTCATCAGATCTGTGAAATACTTAAACACCAAAGGGATCTTTTTGTTTTTCCATACACATTTCATGCCTTCATGACACACTAATACCCTGAATCTGCTAGGTTTGTTTTTGCTTATGTTCGTGATGCTTCAATTAATATTTATTATGTTTTCATAATTGCAGTCAAAGAATGTATAGTATACATCTAGATTCAGGTTTTTGTTTCATAAAAGTCTTAAACGAAATTCCTTGGCGAGTTACAATTTGAGAGTATCTTCCACACTATACAGGTGAGTTACTGAAACTTTGAGTGAGCATATTTGTTCATAGTTTTTGTTTTTTTTTTATTTTTGTTATATCTTTGGAGAAATAGCGTCGCGATGATCCATCGATGTTGCCGGCTTGGATAATATTCCACAATTTATAGCGATTTTTAGCATTTCTATATTTATGGATTTTCTCATTTATATTTTTTACCCAAAATATTCCCATGCTGATTAGTGAAATTTAAATACCAGTATATGATGGAATGAAATTGTAGAATTTAAAAAAATAAAATTCCGGTGTTTATGTTTATTCAGTTCCGTATTTGTGATGTTTGAGTTTTGCGTGTTGCAATTTTTTCAGAATTATCTAATTTTTTCTTCATGTAAATTGCCGAAATTTTGTTCTTAGTGGTGAGCTTTCCTGATTTAATTGAATTATAAATTAGTACTAAATTATTGACATTGGCAGCATGAAGGAGTCTATTGTAAATTATGAGGAATATTTGACGAAGTACTTACCGGGGGGCTGTGAGAAGAGTAATCCATTATCGGTGCGCATGGGCATGTTGAATTGGGGTGTAGGGCCGCGGGCGGGCCTAAGCTGTTCCAGCGCAATGATGGTACTTGGGCACGTGCAAACCACAACAAATCACAACCGGCGGGTAATGCCGGTACGGCCTTGCGGCTGCGACTATAACGCGATCGCGACGGAAACGAAGCGGCGTCTCTAGTGCGAAGAGACAAACAAGCGCCAAGCGATTTGCTGAGCCTTTGGCTTTGGCGCAAGATGGAAAGCGCGGGGCGTCGGCGTGGATGCGTCAAGCGTCAGGGCCGATTGTGATCCGGACTAACTGCTTTGGTGTAAGTGCACGCTTGGAAGGCAATGGCAATGCAACTCGCCGGCCGACTGGCACTGGCATTCGGTAAGGATGTAAAAGTATTGAGATAGTGACCTACATGTCCGCAAAGTAGTGGCAAAACGAAGAAAGCGGAGAAAGGGAGACCGGAGGAAATGCGGCCGCATAAGTAATAGGTAGTTACGTGAGATTACTACGACACATAATATGTTTGTGTCCTCAATTTTATCAAGTACGACTTTCTTATGTTTGTGCGCGCCGGACCGATTCCCAGATGATCAATGGTAAAAAAATCGAACGACTCGATTTTCACATTAAGCACGCATATAAATGATAAATATCCTGACACAAAAGGGTGGGCCATTCGTTGGTTTATTTTTTAAATTGGTATCAAAACTACACTCTTCAATAATATGTAACACTCGATAGTTTATTCAAAAGAATACACCTTCCGATTATTCATGAAAAATTTCATTTAAATGGCTGCCGCGGCTGTCCTGGCAGTAGTCTATCCTCTTAACCCAATTTTGTAACACATTTTCGATAGTTTGTGGGTCTATTTCAATAGCCTGACGGATATTTTCCTTAAGAACATCAATTGTTTGAGGATCGTTAGTGTAACAGCGGTCCTTAACAGTACCCCATAGGAAGTAATTCATGGGCGTCAAATCACAGCTGCGGGCTGGCCACTGAACGTCTCCAAAACGGCTGATAACGCGATGACCAAACTTGTGTGTAAAAGATCGATTATTTCACGGCTGGTGTGGCATGTTGCGCCATCCTGCTGGAACCAGAGATTGTGCAAGTGCATGTCGTCTAATAGTGGCCACAAAAAACTCCTCAACATATCTCTATAGCTTTCCCCGTTTACCGCCACGCTGTTACCATCTTCGAGCCGTTTTACACACAAGAGAATTATTCCGAAAATTATGGTCATAATTATGCCAAAAATGTTTGCTGTCGTATTACACGTAAAAGAATTCTTGTGAAAATTTTCATAGTAAAAATATAAAACCCGTTCTATAGAATATGCGCGAGAAGCGGCGCAGAGGGTTTTTTCCGTGCATGTCAATATCAAATGTCAACGTCAACAACATAACCTCACTTAACATTTGTGGGTGTGGTCCTGTTCGAGTCGTACGAAGAAGCCTGTATTGTTATTGTTTATTAATAATGTCGTGGAATCGGAAAGAAGTTACACTGTTGTTGGAGGAGTACCAAAAATCGCCAAACCTGTACAAGGTGAAGTCACCCAATTACAAAAACAGAAATTTGCGGCGTCAGGCGCTGGATGCGATAGTCCAAGCATTGAGAAATTTTATAATATTAACCAAGATCTCGATTTCAAAAATAAATTTAAATCAACGGCGTCTGTTGTCTTTCAGATTATATTGGACGTCATACCCGTTAAGGTTATGTCCATTCGAAAATATTACTCTAATGCGCAGGCGTATCATATGAATTACTCTGAAATTTTGTTTGCTTGTGTCATACAGGTTGTAGAGAAAATCTTCAATATTTTTTCCATGCAAATTTTCGGCATAATTACCTCCATAATTTTCGGAGTAATTCTCTTGTGTATAAAACGGCTCTTCATCTTTAAAAAGTAGAGACCAATAATCCCACCACTCCAAAAGACACACCAAACAGTTACTCTTTTTGGATGCATTGGTTTTCCTATGATGACATGTGGATTTTCAGAACCCCAAATCCTACAGTTCTGCTTGTTAACGTAACCTCCCAGATGGAAATGGGATTCGTCCGAAAAGCGACCAAAATTGACGTCCGTTTCCAATTTATTTAGAGCTCACAAAGAGAAACGATATCGAAGCTGATGGTCACGTTGTTTCAACTCTTGCACAAGTTGCACCTTGTAAGGAAACAATCCCAGGTCGTTATGCAATATTTTCCGCACAGAAGTGCGACTGATGGCGGTTGTGCTCTGTGACGAGTTGACATTCTTGCGTTTCCAGCAGCAATGTTTTCGACTGTACGTACGGGTCGAACACGCTCACACCTTCTGTTATCCACAAGCAGGCCAGTTTCACAAACCTTCTTGACGAATTTTCGTATACCAGTCGCGGACGGAGCTTCATTCCGACCAAATAGTCTTCTCAATTCTCGCAAAGTTTCTGCAACACAGCACTCACTTTGAATATAGTTTTTCAATATTCCCCACCTTTTTTCAAGATTAAAACGATCCACTGCTCACAGCGGAAGTTTGACACGATATATCTGACAATATGTTGAGGATGGAAGTGTTATCAACTGTCAAAATAATACCAAAGTATACTAAGTGACATATAAATCCGAACACCCAGTTTAAATGGTTTTATTTTAATAAAAGTTGGTGAATGTATTTATCTTACTGTAAATAACAAGTGAAAAAATTTTCAGCCTTATCAGTTGGACATTCCGGTTTTTATACTGCTTTTTTTTAATTCACTAACGCTCTAAAAATGAATATTTCAGCCGCAAAGAATCAACGTTGGCGGATTTTGGTTCTTGTCATCCTTTACGATCGGTTACGATGCCTAGAGTACGGAGACCTGTACGATTTCGTCAACTTAGTGAGTTTGATAGGGGCCGTATAGTGGGACTTCGGGAAGCTGGACTTTCTTTTCGGGCAATTGCAGTTAGAGTGCAAAGAAGTTTAGACACTGTGGTTAGGTGTTGTCAGGCATGGCTTCGAGAAGGCCGTACGCAAAGAGCAAGGGGCACTATTGGCCTTAAGGGACCGTTTCTCCACTACCAGGTCCATTGCAAATGAATGGTTTGCAGAACACGGAAGACCTATTGGCATGCGAAGTGTTTACCGACGAATGAGAAGTTTTGGCTTGTTTTCATACCGGCCACACTGGGTGCTCCCTTTAACTCGAAAACACCGACGTAATCGCCTTGAGTGGTGCAGACAACGGTCACTCTGGGATCAGGAATGGAACAGTATTGTCTTTAGTGACGAGTCTCGATTTTGTTTAGGCGTGCACGATGGTCGTGCCAGGGTTAGAAGGCGACGTGGTGAAAGGATAGATAGATAGATAGATAGTTTATTGTCCTATTGGATCATGTTACGTGATATAGGACTTGTCAATATCAATTTGAGGGTCATATATGCGTTTGAGCAAATATGCCAGAAAAATACTTATAATTATAAAATAAATAAGGACATTACAATTACAAAACATTTTAAAAGGTTAAATCACATTGTAGGTACAGGTACAGTGCAAGAATCGTAATGTGTTCAATCTGTAACGGTAAAAATATATACATAAACAGCGTTATATCCACGAAGTTCTAGAACCCCATCTTTTACCCTATCTTGACACCCTGGCAGATCCAACTTTCCAACAAGATAATGCCCGACCACATGTTGCAAGAGTCACAATAGACTTCTTTCAACATAATGATGTCACATTGTTACCATGGCCACCAAGATCTCCCGACTTATCCCCAATTGAGCACGTGTGGGATATGATGGGTAGGAGATTGCTCAATTTGAAACGTCCTCCTCAGACTCTAGAAGCACTTCGAGAGGAGTTGGTGGTTGCCTGGAATGAGATACCACAGGAGGACATTGACCACATGATCAGAAGCATGCCTAGGCGCGTTGGAGAATGCGTAGCACATCAGGGTGCATTCACACATTATTAAAGGTCAAACGGCTTTAAAGCAGTGCAATCATTTTGAAATTTTTATCATTTACTTATTATGCTTCATTAAGTAGTTATACAAAATTTTATTAAAATAAAACCATTTAAACTGAGTGTTCGGATTTATATGTCACTTAGTATATGTATATTCTCTATCCTTGCTTAAGAATAAAATCTTGCTGGATGATTGACAATGTTTACTAGTAGAACGGGTAGGCACTAATTTTCCAACGAGAGGTATGTGAGGTGTTTGGAAATAATTTTTTCAACAATAATTTTCAACTATAGTAATAAAAGAAAGAGTCTCGGAAACGCTGGCTTTAGGGGGTACCGTCTTGAAATTGTAATGATGGCACATAGTATCATTTAAACTGGGTGTTCGGATTTATATGTCACTTAGTATATTTTACTTCGAGTAATTCTGAAACTGAGGGAAATGACGGATTTTATACGGGCAACGTAGAGGAATGCCCTGATAATTTTAGATACAAACATACATAGGGTAATTTGCAGATAAAATCCTTGTCTGGTGCGCAATTTCTAGTAGGGGTGTATCCCAACATTTGGTGGGAAGAGTGAGGGGTAAAGCTATGAACAGTCAGAGCTATATTGATAACTGCCTTCCCAAATTACTTCAGTTTGTCCACGAACATCATTCTAATGACCACACAATGTTTTGGACAGACCTAGCATCATACCGTTACTCAAGAGATACTCAAAACTGGCTTCCACAACACAACATAACCTTTTGTTCCCAAAAACGATAATTCTCCAAACTCGCCGCAGGCTCGCCCAATAGAAGATTTTTGGGCTTCACTGTCTAGGAAGGTTTATCATGGAGACTGGGAAGCCCAAGATGAAGAACAATTAAGTCGGCGAATTTACGAAAAATTGAGAGAAATTGATCTGAATCCCGTCCAGGACATTCTAAGAAAGTTGCGTCTGATAGAGCACAATGGGTCACTTTACATAATTTGATAGTATCGTTTAGTTAAGAATTGGGTTGTAATTTATGATAATAATAATAATAATAATAATGTGTTTATTTAAACACAAAGAACCAGGAGAGACATAAGCAGCGAAGTTTAGCCAAAGCTACTCTTACAATTCACTGCTTATGTGGGTTACATTAGATGTTCAATACAAAAAAAATATAAAAAAAGAACAACTAGTTGGTGTTTAAATAAATTTCTTCATAAAAAAAGCGATAAATATTTTGTGCCACAACTTTTATTTTAGCACATATGTACGGTATCAAAACTTTAATTCGCATAAGGTAATCGCGAAAGATTTCTAAAGTAACATATTGTGTGTTTTGGATATACTATCTGACATGTAAATCACCAAAAGCCACGTCCCTCATTTTCACCGGTCTGCCTGTCTGTTGATTTGTCTGTTT